GTCAAATCGTATTCATTTATCCCATATCTTGACTCATGAATTTAAGGTCAACATTTACAAGCATATCTTCTCATCATATAAATGGACTTATCGGGGTTTTGTTTCCAATCTTGACAAACCTTGAAGATTTCAAATTCTGAACAGCGAATAGTGCAGACCATGGTCTGCAATAGTGACGAGATTAATCCAATAGTTACCTATAAGTATACCAAGTGTGAACGAAACATTTTATGTTGGTTTTGTCGTGACGCGGCTCATATTTAAAAAGAAAACGAATATTGAAAAATCACAGAAATAACAAGAAGAAAACAAAAGAAGCAAAATCAAGAAACAAACAAACTTATTAAATTTAAAAAAAAGAAAACAACAACGGCAGTTCATGTAATCACAAGCAAGACTATCATTAAAGATCATTTCATCAGTTTATTGGTGTTTTTCTTAATACAAAATAAACAGTTTAAAGGGAGTCATTGTAAGTTATTTAGAGGCACATTGTGCCTTAGAAATCCATAGTTTTTAATTTTTTAGGAATATCAAACAAGATGTTTAAAAATGTTTTAATAATGAATTTAGAGTGTGTAATTTGTGTTTGTTGGTATATTAATCACCCAGGGTAAAAAAAACAACATAATATTTCGAATCATTGGTCTGTTCAGACCTTTTTGAGAGACACACTTTTTGTTTGTTTGTTTGTCTGTTTTTAAAAACAATGTAAATGTTTATAACAAGAAATGTATAGCTCTATGAACAATTTCCTTTATTTACAGGTTGCAGCACTTGGTGGTTTTATTTTATTCTTTGGATTTCTTGCATTTAATGGTGGGTCCCTTGGCTCCCTAGTCGGAACCGGAAACGGTGCTACAATAAGTTTGGTCGTGGTCAACACAATCATCGCCGGATCATTTGGCGCATTTTCCTGCATGCTAATTCACAGATCTCCTAGATTTGGCAGTGGGAAATTCAGTTTGTTGATGACCATAAATGGCGCTTTAACTGGAATGGTAGGTCAAACCTAAACTATGTATAAGATTAACAATTCATGATAAGTTGAAGATGAACTAGATAATTCAAGAAGTTGAAATACATGTATTACCACCGGTCTTTCGCATTAGTTTTCGAAATGTCATTATTATACGTCACTATATAAGGCATACTCGAACTTCAAAAAGTATTTTCATTACTAAGGTTTCGCTGACATATGATCTTTACTCGTTATAGTCCCCTGAACTCCTGAGAATATAAGAGATTTATTTAAGGTAATATGCAATAAATAGACTAAGATACTGTTACAATAGCACTATATCTTCTTCTTAACGTTAATTGGTCACGCGTACATTTTTCTATTTAAAGATAATTTAACTAATACCATTAAAAGACATCTTTTCTAATCGCCATAAATTGTTGTGTTCGGCATAAACTGGCATAATTATGACATTGTCATTTGCTGTTATCATTTTAAGGTGGCAACCTGTGCATTGGTGAATGCAATGTATCCATGGACAGCCTGTATTCTAGGACTTGGAGCCGGGCCTGTCTATCATATAGTCTCGTATTTGGTAAGACGGGTGGGAGTAGATGATCCTCTTGATGCCGTGGCTGGTATGTTGTACAATGTATATTTGTATCATAGTTTGGTGACCTTTCTGCTGAAAATGCGTCAGAGTTAAATCGTTTACATATACATGCACAGTGCGTTAACTGGAGTGCAGGTATTAGTTACCCGCACTCCTGAGCACGCCCATTGATTGGTTCATTTTTGCTGGGATTTACTTATTGTGACGGCAGAGAAAGGAAACGCGACAGAAATATGATATTCAGATGCTCGTTCATTGGTTCCTTTTGTCCGGGGTTTCTTATTGCGATAACAGGGAACGTGTTTTTATGTTTGACTATGCTACAAAAGAGAAAGAACACCAAAACACTCGGCAATCTGATTAATACTCGAGGGCTACGCCCCCTCGTACAAATCAGATAGCCTCGTGTTTCGGTGCTCTTTCTATTACATATTTAAACTGGCATTACGCCCATCCAAGTGTATATAGTAAGTGAACAAGTTAAAGTCAAATAAGTTAAAATTATATATTTTGTCATAATTCCTTTCAAATTCATATTTAACTTCGCATGAATGATAAATAACTCACATGGCACGAAGAAATGTGTGTATATCCATCGGCATTTACAAATAACGTTAAATTTATAAATATACATGTATATAACATTATATAAAAAGGTTAGGAAGTCTTTTTTATATTTTTGGCAAATTTATATTTTGTCCGAAACACACAAATGAGCATAATGTCACTTTAACCATGGAATACATAAACTAAATAGTTTATCATAAACGTAACAGGAGAAAATTATTTAATTTTTAAAATTACATGTTCTAATCATGGATAAACACCTTGTCAATAAAACGAACAAAAGGTTACACATTGGTATTATCTTTTTTATATTCTTATTGTTATGGCATATCAGATCGTCATTGCGTGGTTATAATGTACACGGAATGTTACCGGACGATGTCGCCACGTCCTAATTATAGTCACAATATTAGGAATACCTGAATCACTTATTTTCTTATAGCTCAAAAAGTAGCAAAGTATGCTTAGTTCTTGTAAAACTATTATCACTATTCGTAAAGCTGCTATTGTAATTTTTGCAGTGCATTTTGGAGGCGGTGTATTCAGCGTCCTGTCTCTGCCATTCTTTCACAGAGAAATTGGTATATTCCACAACTGGGACAAGAAATCAGGTTTGGTATGTTATTTATGATACGTATACATCAATCTAACTTTTTCATTTTCACAAACATTTATAATTGACTTCCTTTCTGTTTAATTTTTTGATAATGTGTATAATTATTAAATCTGACAAAAGTTATCAGTAGACAAAAAACTTTTATGAAAATTATATTTAACAAGTCTTATTACATTTTCCCTGGACGAGTTTCATATATGTATGAAATGGCAACTCAATATCAGATTATTTTTATTACCTGACTATATTTAATCAAAACAATCCGTTTATAGCTTTAAGAGACGCTACCCATGTACAAATGCGGCCTCATATTACACATGTATAATATAAAGAAACACGTGATCATGGTTCATAGTCATAGTTGTATACGTAACATATATTTCAAGCGAAATCATGTGCTAGATTAAACGTCTTTGTTAATAAAGTTTCCTTTGAGGAAAGAGTTTGTAAATAATGATTATATTTCGGTTAAAATAATAGTTAAATCATAATTGGAAATCCGCCATGAATGAAAAATCTTTTATTTCACCGATCGTATTCCAAGAAAACCGGAATCAAATTAAGTGTCTTCTCTGATTACTACATATTTTGAGATACGATAATTTTGAGATAAAATGTTTCTTGTTTCAAGGAAGCGTTTCAATGATACTGAGTAAAGTGGGCGATATTTTGCCTATTTTTATTCCAAAGGTTTTAGGTTTGCAGATCGCTGGCCTCGGAACTATCATACTGTGGACTGCTGTAACATCCGCACTACTTTTTGGTGGGTTGAGGTTACTGGGAATTCTACGCGTCCCCGAGGAAGTTGAAATCAAAGGTATATACATGTAGCAGTTAACATATCCATGCAAAAAAAAACTAAGAGTTGTATATATTTCTTAGTGCATTTTAAAAGATAAATAGTCTTTTTTTATTTCAATTCCAAAAGATTAAAGGTCCTTAAAGGACTTATCAGATCTAAATGACTACAGTTACTTTTTAGAACAAATTTCAGCCTCGGTAAACATGGTTTAAATCGTCACTGTTTTATGAGTGTTAACGTTGTATTAATGCTGAGATATTGTCAATGTTTGATATTGCGACAAAGTACACCGAATATCTCTCCGGAAAAAAACGGGATAAGGATGGCCAATAGTCGATTAATTAACCGGAAGTCAGTTTGAAAACAAACGGCATTAGACCGAAAAACAAACACACACACACGCGTATACACGTATCCCAAATCAACACATATAACAGTTACGTGTAAAAGATATTATTATTATGAAAACAAATGTATTGATTTCATTTATATGTGACATTTGTAAACACGAATTAAACGTAGAATGAAGGTATTGAATTTTAACATGACGGTATATTAGCAAAGTAGTGTTTGATATACAACTTACATATATTTCATTGAATGTAATATACCAGTACACACATACATAATTTTGTCATTGTTAAGGACTTGATATACACAAGCATGAACCGGCGTATCCTGTTGAAGCATATGGTACAGGTCATGTGGAGAAGTTGCTTCGGATTGTCACATCTGGTGATAAAGAAAGAGCGAAACAAAGTAAGTTATACTGTATTTTTATTTTTCGTCCGGTGAATATTGCACAAGAATCTCACATAGAATATCCCCATTCTTAACTATTGTCGTTATGAACTTCGACGGGCTTTGATACAAAAATAAGAAAACATTCCAGAACAGTGTAAGCAAAATGATTACATTTTATGAGACATTGGCCTAAGAAAATTGTACTTCCTCATTCTCCTATTACTGATTACAGTTTTTATAGTGATTTTCATCTTCAGTGTGCTCGCATTATTGTATACCGAATAATAAACAGCAACAATATGTTAAGCACGTCGAAAGAAATATCTTTGTAAATGTGTATGGTCGTATTTTAATGAGCATTAACCGTCTAATTTACCCTACAGTTACAACAAGGCCAGTCACCGGGTGAAGTCTCTTTTATAGAAGCGTGTTCTCTTTTCCATTTATCTATCAAACTTTGTACAAAAGCAATTATGCTTGAAGGGTACCTGAGGACTGCAAAGTCACCATTTGACCTAACAGTAGAGAAAAAAATCACCGAAATCGACAAAAATAAAAAATGTTGCAGGCTAGGTTTGATTGAGCCTGTTAATTAACGGCACTGGAAAGTGCAAGCTACCATTCATCACCCCTAGTATTGGCTTGAGAAGAATTCAACATTTTAACATACATGTATATGTAAAGCATATAAATAGTGTTTCAAATGGTTTAGCTTGTTTGAAGTATTATTGTTTTCTGTTATAACAGTTTTAAATTTATTTGCTATGTTTTTCTCATTTCAGTCATCAAACAAATGAGAGGTATTTATTTATTTATCTAATTATTTAATTAATTAAATAATTTATTTATTTATTTATTTATTTATTTATTTATTTATTTATTTATTTATTTTGCCGTAAAGCTTTTAAAGTGTCAGAAAGACCAATACCTGGAACAGCAATACCATATATAGATTATTGTTCACTGTAAATGGGCAGGAAAAAAGCTATACGTTTTAATGGTTAGTTTTACATGCTTGCAATTCAACTACGAACTCTTGATCTTAAGATTCCTGTTTAAACTAACTGTTTTACAGTTTGAAAACGTTTCCATTCTAGGTTTAATCATGTTTCTTAATTCAAATGATACTTTCTTGTTTTAAGACATTAGATTCTATTTATGAAATTTCGTTATACTATTTATAGAAATGTAAATCTATTTATAGATATTTTACTATTTATAGGCCGGTCAGAGGTGGGTTACATGGAGATAAAGGATCAGGGTCCCTACGAAAATCCAGAAGCTCACTGGACGACAGCAAAATGTAGACCGACACAACAAGCTTCTCAAGAGATTTGATTGGACAAAACTTTTAAATACAAAATTTTATAGAGGAGTTTCTATATTTGAGCCGCGTCATGACAAAACCAACCTAATGGGTTTGCGACCAGCATGTAACCAGACCAGTCTGCGCATCCGCGCAGTCTGATCAGGATCCATGCTGTTCGCTTCCAGTTCCTCTGCTTGTTATAGGGTTGGTAAGCTTCCTGATCAGGCTGCGCGGATGCGCAGGCTGGTCTGGATCAATGCTGATCGCAAACCCACTATGTTGGTCTTGTCGTGACGCGGCTCATTTATATTCCAAAATCGTGGTTTGATCAAGAAATTAAAGTGTACTTATTTCCAGTTTTCAATTTCTATTTTGTAAATTTAAATTTGTTAGTCTTAGTTTAAAAAAAACTTATAGAACATCTCATATTAAGTTCTTTTTCTCGAATTTAAAATGGAAAATACCAACCGCTTAATGTTATTTTACGTCAATGTTTTGATTTTTGGGACAATTGATTCATACCGTTTACTGTTAAAGACTAAACCCCTTTTAAGCCGGTGCTGGGGACCTGTAGATTTCCATCATTCTTTATCTCTCTCATGGACAGAGTGAAATCAAACCGAGTCCACAACTTTAACCATGTTGCTTTCGACCGATTTATCTTTATATAGATGATTAGTTTCCTCAATCTTAATTTGGCCATAAAGTAAGCAATACACACAAAGGACTGACTTTAATAAAATAGGAAATTTTAGTTACCTTTGTATATTTTAGGACTGAAGCATGATTTTTCATACTTTATGCATTAAGCATTTGAATCCGCATTTACACATTAAAGCTTCATGGTAGTTAAAGATTTCTTTCAACATAGCATTGATTGAATTAAGTGTTGTATAATACATAATTATCGGTGCTAAAGACATTAATGCTTTAAGATTAATTAAATTTAATAAAGCACACATTTTAGAATATAATTAAAAACGTATGTTAATATACAGAATATTTTTACATGATGTGTCAATTTATTTTATAATCATTTACATGTACATGTATTATGATTTGAAGTTGAAAATAAAAACACAATAATTTTATAACTAATGTAAACTCAATTTTAAACAAATATTTTATATACAAGTAAAATTGGATAATATTTATTTTTAACAATAACTGCTTAATTACTATTTATTATCGTTGCATGGTATACCAATCAATTTTTCTTGTAATTCTAATATAAATTCGATGATAAAGACGAAAATAGTTTTTATTTACAAAGACACTTTAAAATTCCACGTTAGTATATGATAATATTAAACAAAAGTACTTTTTCTGTTAAATAATTGCCATGACTGCTTAGCGTAAATAGATAGCATTGAAACAAAGGCATAGTTCATTTAGTAGAGAGTTAATCTAAAATCAAAATGCCAAATCATCCCTAGAGTAAATTTGGTTAAATGACGCTATGGTAACGTATTGTTTGTCATCAAACATTCGTGTAGAAAAGAAATGAGATTCATGATAACTAATTGCTAGCCTATGGCGTAACAATTGAATTGCATGATGAAGACATGGTTCATGCCCTCGCTTTGATACAAATATAGACCCACCCACACATTACCATCACCTACGCGTACTCTTAACTCTTATTCACAGCACAGTTATCATCATAGATTAATTGGCCAAAAGAATTTGAGTAACCTGTGACCATAAAAATAACAAGGGGGGTGAGAAAAAGACGATATACAGTTAAAATCTAAAAGAAGGGTGATCCCTAGGAAGCATTCATCGCATCAAAATTACATGAAACAAATTAGACTTGGTTTGTCTGTACATGAAGGATAGAGAATAAGTGCAACTTCCCTCCCCCCTCTAGCACCGACTTGAACGGTACTCAATTTTCAACACGTAAAAGTGCTGGAATCAATGACCACGAAGGACCAGAAACATAAAACAGCACTGAAAAGTATCTGTAACGTGTAATATATTTTTTTATAATATAGTTGTTTACGATTTGTATCACAAACTACGTTGCCCATACACTGACATGATTGACATGTTTTTCTTATTTCGTAATAACGAAATAACGTTTCATGAATTTTAAATAATATGTCGAAATAACGAAATAATATTTCTAATTTCTAAACTACATTTCATAGATATAATTTTTTAATGAAATGCAAAAATTAATTGAATGAAAAAATACGCAAGGAATGAAGTAAAGGGCAATAGCTTAAAACTAAATAAGTTAAAAGTTTTTATACTTATTCAAGCCATTCTTTTTCACTGTGATCTGTTCACTGATAAAGTGTTGAAAATTCAATTTTAAGGGTGATTGTGTAAAAAATTATGATAGAAAGTAACAAAGGGCAATAACTTTTAAAAAGACGATTCATAGATCTAATTGAGGAGCAGTGACGAGAACAAATAAAAAAAAATTTCATCAATTTTTATGGAATGCATTCTTCCTTAAAAAGATCTAACCGCCTTTGAACATTCAATTTGATCTGAAATAATATTTGAGGTATGCCACAGGATAGATAAAAATTAAACATGAAAAATTACAAAGTGCATAGCTCATAAAATGCAAATAGTAGAGACATCAGTCTTGTGCAATGCAACTCTCCTCATCCTCCTGATCATCTGATCATGCACTCCAGTTCAATAAGATCCAACAACCTATGAAGTACTCAAACACGGAACCCTTTTTTATAAGGAAAGATAACAAAAAAAGAAAGGAAAAGGTGGCTGGTTACCAACGTCAGCCATTAAAAAACCTGAAGAAAGATTGCACGGTTATTTCAATGTAATTATGCTAACAGTGTAATGATATTATTTGTTTGAGTTCAATACGTGATTTAAAAAATTCAATTTCAATTTTGAAATTTTGCTATTTTGATATCAATGTATAATTGTTTATGTGATACTTTGGAAGAAAAAGTAAGATATTTGCAAAATTCATTTTTTCTCATGAAAACACGTAATTTGTTTGTCCGTATTTGTATCAGAGTTCTTGCTATTACTGATTTACAAAAAAACACACAAAAAAACACCAACAAACCAACACTTTTTGCAATAGAATATTCTTGTATAAATTATGCAGTTCCAAGAATGATTTGTTTATTTTACGTATGTTAAGTACAAAATAATCTCTCAACGCTCAATACAATTAATAAATTGATTTGTATCAAATTCATATCCCAATCATTCAAATCATTCATCATTGTACACCCATCCTATAATGTTAGTTGACATGACGTGACACCGGAAATTTAATTATGTTTAGTGAATGTACCAAACAATGTATTGACCACCATGTTATGACAATCATATAAATACATAATTTGTGTGTTGACATTTACATGTCAAAACAGACTTTGAATGGTCATATTTTAATGTGACCTTACTATTTATGAATACTGCATGTTCATAATGTTTTATAAAAACAAGCAAAAACACATATACCGTTAAAAGTCCTCTTTGTAAAACATGCTATTTTAGTTCTAAATCGATAGATTGATCTTTAGAAATAATCGACTCCAAACATTTTTACGAGATAAGATAAGATTTAGTCAATATATTGACTAAATGACAACGTTTAACAAGTGGAAGTAATATAGTTCATGAAAATATAGGTTATGTTCAACAGGCTAGGTTCAGCATAAGTGTTACTAATTCCTTGCAAGTGATTTACCCTTAATTCAACTTATGCATGTATTTCATTTTCCACCACATGCAAGAATCAGTTAATTTGATTATAGGATTCAAAATGAAAGATGAATAAAAAAAGAAAACAAGAACAAAACAATAGGCCTTTGTATATTTATTTGAAGTGAAATGCGCATGTTTCAGATAAATGTTAATAGTACACTGTAAGCATTATCACGTGATAATAGGAAATTGAAGGTTCGTTTTCATCTTATTGTCAGTTTTTCAACTAAAATGTATAAAAGAGAATTTTTATTGTTCAAATTAACAGATGTAACTTTCTGTAACACAAAAAGTCGTCCAGCAAATGGTATTGAAGACGGCAACTTGCTCTATCATTTTCGTTTATCAGCAGGCTCAATTAAACCGAGCCTGCAATATATTTTTGATTTTTTAGTGTTCTTTTTGGATTCCTCCATGTATGGTATTGGTTTATTTCCCGCATATTTAATCTATATCATCATATATCATTTATATGTCATTTTCCACAGCAAAGATCTTAGATTTGTTCTTCAATGAAGATATCGGATTATTAAATTATAAATTTGTGCCCTCTTCAAATAAGATTAGATAATTCATTCCACATTGTAATCAAAATACAAAAATAAATGTAGCTTTTTTCAAGTACTAATATTAACTAATCCTGTGTTGTTTTTAAACATAACCTGAATTCTTCAGCTGTTTGGAACTCTAATAGCTTGCCATGGATCTCTGCAATGGTAATGATAGACAAATGGGGGAATGGCTTTCGACATGTCTGTATTAATTGAACAAATCTGTCCGTGTGGACATACGCAACTGAAATATAATAAATATTATTGTAAAAAATTCTCCGAAAACATGTGTTTATATCTTGTCATATAAACATTTTGATATATACATATTTTTACAAAAAACAATTCTATATTATTAAATGATAACACTTCATTTTGAAGTGTCATAACAATTGGTGTCAGTAATAAGTAACATGTTTCAACACCATGGGAAGCACTATCTTTTAAGAGCAGGGATTTTGAGAAAACAAACCTTGCACATGATCAAACGACAATTTCTTTGCAAGCTATGTACCCTTAAAATAAAGTTTAATCACAAAATACAAAAACATTTCACCGTCACAAAAGAGGCAACAGAGGGTATAAGATAATTTAAAGCTGTCATTTAGGAGACGTGAGTCACAATCTGACTAAAGTTCAGTTCTACTTGTTTCTTTTATGTACATCTGATGATGACTGTATATGTTTTGCCTTCTTTATAATTTGGAGAAAACTATTTTTAGCCATGAAATCAAACCGGTTTTTACTTAGGCATTTGAAGAAGTATCGAAATACCGTTGTCCGTGGAGTTAAAAAAAAATGTTTATTTTTGTTTTAAAAAATGTTTAAAGTAATTTTTAACATTTTAACTTGAAATAATAGAGTCACTATTTGATGGGCAGGATTGTTTTGCCAGTAAACCTGTCGGCTATATGGACAACGCCATGTTTGTTCTCGAAATCGTGAAAATTACCTACTCAGTTTGGTTTTCCCAGAGTTAAAATTAGAAACCACGTCGCTTACAAAATTAAGAAAGCTCGACGATGATTGGTTGCATGAAAGGTTACCAGAAATGACTTCGTATATGGTCATGGTCAGATCTAAAAGCGGAGCTTTATTTAGAGCTGATTTTAGTCAGATTGCGTGATTCATTACATTATTTCATTTGAAGTTTAAAACAATGTTTTTGAGAAAGCAAACTTTACTTACTTGGTGTCGATAAGAAGTGGAACAAAAGTACAAGAGTTACTATTGCGATTTCGTCGAAGACAAATCACATATTTGCATGCCGTACTTCTTGAACATTTATGTCTTTCAACTCTTGATGACTTTTCCTAAAAAAAAGCATTAATAAGGTTCCTGTAACTTTGGAGTTAAAATAACTTTATAAATCTTAACTTTATGATAAGCAATGTGTAATAAGTATGATCTACAATATATTTTGGAAACTAACTAAAATAAATAATAATTGTTTGTAGATATAAGCATTAATTAACAAAATCCATGATTTTGTTTGTATGGAACTTAAATGAACGTTTGTGAAAATGGAGCAGATATATTTTTTTCTAACTAGATTGTTACTTATGATAATAATTAAAAGAACATACCTGAACACCAGTCATCTCATGCAATATAGAATTTGCTGAGGACTGTAGCAGTAATACAATTACAACCATGAACATAATGATATGATGCATTGTTAATAGCATTTGATTATTTGATTTAACCTTTCAGATGTCCCGTCTTTCATAGGCACTTTATGAATGAATGTAAAATTAATTCC